GGGCCTCTTGGGGGCTTCCGGGGCCTCTCAGGGGCCTCTTGAGGCCTCCTGGGGGCTTCTTAAGGCCGAGGGCTCGAAGTTTTGTTTTGTGTTCCCCCTTTGGGGCATCGCTTGGGGCCCTCTTGGGCCCCTCTTGGGCCGTCTTGGATGCCCTGGGGCCGTCTTGGAGCCCTCTTGGGCCATCTTGGGGCCATCTTGGGAGCTTCTTGGGCCCTCTTGGGGCGGGCGATCTTGGGGGCCTCTTGGGCCGTCTTGGGGCGTCGGGAAGCCGAAAAGATGGACACGCCAAAATCTGCCCAAAACTTAAGGAAAAGTAATGCATTTTGCCTCTTGGGGCCCTCTGGGGAGTGCTCTTGGAGGCCTCTTGGGGCGTCTGGGGGCCATCTTGGGCGTCTTGGAACGATCGTGTGGCATCTCGGAGCACTCTTGAACCATCTTGGAGGGCGCTTGGCGGCCTCGTGGCCCTTCTTGGGGCTCTCTGGAGGGCCACGGGGGCAGCGCCCAGGAGGAAAACCATCTCTGACCCGAGTCTGCCGGGGATTGCCCGGGGTACTTTTCGTCCGGGGACCCCCAGGGGCCGCCCCGCGCGCGCGAAGTAGAAGTACTAGCCGGCCGCTCTGCGGTTGATCGGGAGTTTCTGTATATAGAAGAAGGTGCGTGCGCTTGTTGGCGAGGGTGAGGATGAGGTTCCTCCTCCTCCTCCTCCTCCTCCTCCTCCTCCTCCTCCTCCTCCTCCTCCTCCTCCATCCTTCTCTTGCCTCCGTCTGTCCTCCTCCACCCCGCAGCTCCATCATCTTCTCCTCCTCCTCCTCCTCCTCCTCCTCCTCCTCCTCCTCCTCCTCCTCCTCCTCCTCCTCCTCCTCCTCATTCCTCCTCTGGGCACCTCCCCCGGGGCGCGGGGAATCCACCGGAATCTGTTTCCGGGATCCTCGCGCCTGCGCCGGAAAAGGAAACGGGCCGGATGGCACCAGGCGCCCTCTCTGTGTGGGGCAACCTCACACGGAGGCCCCCGTTTGTCCCCGGTTCCGGTTTTGTAGGCCCGGTTTTGTAAGGAATGATCTCAAGCGTGGCCGCCGGTTTTTGTGAATAGTTCGGCGGAATCCAACGGATATGTCCGGGGAAAACGGTGCCGGAGGCCGCTCTGGGCTCCTCTGGGCACCTCCCCCGGGGCCGGTTTTGTGAGGATGTATCAAGCGAGGGCGCCGGTTTGGGATTCGTCACCGGATCCAGCGGATCCAGCGGATCCACCGGATCTGTCCGGAAACGGTGCCGGAGGCCGCTCTGGGATCCTCTGGGCACCTCCCCCGGGGCCGGTTTTGTGAGGATGTCTCAAGCGAGGGCGCCGGTTTGGGATTCGTCACCGGATCCAGCGGATCCACCGGATCTGTCCGGAAACGGTGCCGGAGGCCGCTCTGGGCTCCTCTGGGCACCTCCCCCGGGGCCAGTTTTGTGAGGATGTTTCAAGCGAGGGCGCCGGTTTGGGATTCGTCACCGGATCCAGCGGATCCAGCGGATCTGTCCGGAAACGGTGCCGGAGGCCGCTCTGGGCTCCTCTGGGCACCTCCCCCGGGGCCGGTTTTGTGAGGATGTCTCAAGCGAGGGCGCCGGTTTTGGATTCGTCGGCGGATCCACCGGATCCAGCGGATCTGTCCGGAAACGGTGCCGGAGGCCGCTTGGGCTCCTTATGGGCACACCTCCCCCCAGGGTGCTCACGGTTTGTTGAAGGATGTCTCAAGGCGAGGGCGCCGGTTTGGGATTTCGTCGGCGATTCCACCGGAATTCTGTCCGGAAACGGTTTGCCCAGAGGACGCCTCTGGGGGGCTCCTCTGGGACCTCCCCCCGGAGGGCCCCGGTTGTGAGGATGTCTCAAAGCGAGGGGCGCCGCGTTGGGATTCGTCGGCGGCGGATCAACGGATATTCTGTTACGGAGGGAAACGGTTTTGCTCCCGGGAGGGCCGCTCTGGGCTCCTCTGGGCACCTCCCCCGGGGCCGGTTTTGTGAGGATGTCTCAAGCGAGGGCGCCGGTTTGGGATTAGTCGGCGGATCCACCGGATCCACCGGATCTGTCCGGAAACGGTGCCGGAGGCCGCTCTGGGCTCCTCTGGGCACCTCCCCCGGGGCCGGTTTTGTGAGGATGTCTCAGCGAGGGCGCCGGTTTGGGATTCGTCACCGGATCCACCGGATCTGTCCGGAAACGGTGCCGGAGGCCGCTCTGGGCTCCTCTGGGCACCGCCCCCGGGGCCGGTTTTGTGAGGATGTCTCAAGCGAGGGCGCCGGTTTGGGATTCGTCGGCGGATCCAGCGGATCTGTCCGGAAACGGTGCCGGAGGCCGCTCTGGGCTCCTCTGGGCACCTCCCCCGGGGCCGGTTTTGTGAGGATGTCTCAAGCGAGGGCGCCGGTTTGGGATTCGTCGGCGGATCCACCAGATCCACCGGATCTGTCCGGAAACGGTGCCGGAGGCCGCTCTGGGCTCCTCTGGGCACCTCCCCCGGGGCCGGTTTTGTGAGGATGTCTCAAGCGAGGGCGCCGGTTTGGGATTCGTCGGCGGATCCACCGGATCCGTCCGGATCTGTCCGGAAACGGTGCCGGAGGCCGCTCTGGGCTCCTCTGGGCACCTCCCCCGGGGCCGGTTTTGTGAGGATGTCTCAAGCGAGGGCGCCGGTTTGGGATTCGTCGGATCCACCGGATCCACCGGATCTGTCCGGAAACGGTGCCGGAGGCCGCTCTGGGCTCCTCTGGGCACCTCCCCCGGGGCCGGTTTTGTGAGGATGTCTCAAGCGAGGGCGCCGGTTTGGGATTCGTCACCGGATCCGGATCCAGCGGATCCACCGGATCTGTCCGGAAACGGTGCCGGAGGCCGCTCTGGGCTCCTCTGGGCACCTCCCCCGGGGCCGGTTTTGTGAGGATGTCTCAAGCGAGGGCGCCGGTTTGGGATTCGTCGGATCCACCGGATCCACCGGATCCACCGGATCTGTCCGGAAACGGTGCCGGAGGCCGCTCTGGGCTCCTCTGGGCACCTCCCCCGGGGCCGGTATTGTGAGGATGTCTCAAGCGAGGGCGCCGGTTTGGGATTCGTCGGTCGGATCCAGCGGATCCACCGGATCTGTCCGGAAACGGTGCCGGAGGCCGCTCTGGGCTCCTCTGGGCACCGCCCCCGGGGCCGGTTTTGTGAGGATGTCTCAAGCGAGGGCGCCGGTTTGGGATTCATCGGCGGATCCACCAGATCTGTCCGGAAACGGTGCCGGAGGCCGCTCTGGGCTCCTCTGCTCCCCGCGCCGGGGGTGAGGATGACGGTAGTTCCACAGAAACTCCCTCAAATTATTTAGCAGTTGCCGGAGATCTTAGCACGCCTCTGGCCCGTTGGGCCGGCGAATTTCGCAACACGTCGCGTTCCCTTTTGGTGCACTCGTTGGCCAACATTGAGATACAGGGCGCGGGGGCCGGGCTCTCTGGCCTTTTACAAGTGCACGCTTACTTTGCAAACGACGGTACTTCTTACAGGCTTGCCGCCCGGCCGCTCCAGTCGGAGTCCTTCGCGCTGTGAGTGTCCTCCCTCCTGTTCCTCCCTCCGCGGCCGCGCTCCGCCCTTGTCCACCCTTCTGGCAGCCGGACAACCAGTGCCTACCATCGCCTGGCCCACTCGAGCGCGCGCGCGCGGACTGCTTCTGCCTCGCTGCGACGGGAGACGTGGAAGTGAAGATTGAGGCTTATAGGCTAAGGCAAAGGACCTGAGGACACGCCCACTCCGTGCCCAGAGGCACGGTAGTGGATATTTGAGTTGAGTAGAGTAGAGCAGAGTAGCGCATAGTAGGGAAAAGTCGGTGGCTTGAGTAGATCTGGGTAGATTAGAGTAGAGCAGAGCAGCATAGAGTAGAGTCGAGGAGGGAAGAGGAGGGCATCGCAGAGTAGAGTTAACATACTTCTGTGTAGGAGTGAAGTAGCGCAGGGTAGGATAGCATACAAGGGAAGGTTCTGGTAGGGTAGGGTCGAATGGAGCCGGGTACAGTAATACATGATTCAGTAGATAACGGTAGGTCGTAGAGAAGAGTCGGGTTTAACACAGTAGAGTGTATTTGAGTAGAGTTGAGTAGAGCAGAGTAGAGTAGAGTATGAGCAGGAGTAAGACCATAAGTAGAGCACCCTAGAGCGTGTTAGAGTAGAATCGACTCGGTTGGGGTCGGGTAGGGTGTATTTGGGTAAGTTTGTGAAGAGTAGAACACATTTGAGTATACGGTAGACGGTAGGGTCGAGTGGGCTACGTTAGAGTAGAGTAAAATGGAACAGACTGGACTAGGGCAGAGGAGAGGATCGTATACTAGTGCGGATTAGCAGTATTGTCGAGCAGAGTAGGAGTAGAACAGAGTAGTGTAGAGTAAAGTAGTGTAGAATAGAGTAACGTCGAGTAAAGCAGAGTAGAGCAGAGTCAAGTCGAACATGTAAGAGTAGTGTAGTGTAGAACAGTTTAGGGTAGGGTAGGGTAGAGTAGAATACGGCAACAGCGAACATCGAGCATGACCCCCGGGGTCCCGCCAGCTTCGGCCGAAGTCGTGGCTGGGACGGCAGGCACCGGGCGCGTCCGGACTGGCCAGCGCGGGTCTTCACGTCTTCGATGAGCGGGGGATTCGATCGGGTGATCCCGAACCGGACCAGCTGAGTTGGGAGGGCCTCCGCCAGGTGGGCGTCCCCCTCGCAGCCGCGCACCCTCCTCCCGTTTTCCGTGAACAGGTAGAGGCCTTTGGGTACCTTTTGGAAGCCTTCAGGAAGCCTCATGGTGGTCTTCTAAGGGCCTCTTATGGCCCCTTGGGGGTCTTCCAGGCCGTCGTAAGGCTCTTTCGTCTCGTCCGACGCCTTCGAAGGCCGTCTCGGGGGCACCTGGCAGCTCCTTGGTGTTGCTGGGGTGCCTCGGGGCCGTCTTGGATGTCTCCTGGGCCCCTCCTGTTGACCACCTCCGCTGGCAGCGGCCCCCCACCCCCCTGGGCCCCTCTTGCAGAGCGGGCCGCCGCGCGAGGGGTCATGCTGACCGTCTCCGTCATAGAGATGTTCCTGCCGCAGCTGCGCCGTCCCGAGCGCTGGCTCGAGGGCGCCCTGGCAGCTGGCGCCTCCCCGCGCGCCGCCGCCGTGCGGTATCCTCCTCATCTTTCTATTTCCCCTCCTCCATTTCTGCTCCTCCTCCCCTCCTCCTCTATTCCTTCTCCTCCTCTCTCCCGCCTCCCGCCTCCCCCTCCTCGCTCTCCCCCTCTTCCCTGTCGTCTTCTGATCGTCCTCCACCTCGTCCTCCTCGTAATCTTTTTGTTCGTCCTTGTGATCTTCGTTTTCGTCCTCCTCGTATTTGTATTCCTGGTTGCCCTCGTCCCAGTCCTCCTCCCGTCTCGTCGCATTCGTCCCTCTCATACTCGTCCCCGCCCTCTCCTACTCTCCTCCTCCTCCTCCTCCTCCTCCTCCTCCTCCTCAATATCACCATTGTAATCCTCAACAACAACATCATCTCATCTTGCTCATGCTCCCTTTTTTCTGTTCTCCTGCCACTTCTGCTCCCTGCTCCTCCTTGCCCTCCTTGGTGTGCCACTGTTCGTTCTCCCTGCTGCAATCGCTCCACACCCATTTCTGCAATTGGCCCCTGCTGCCACTGCAGCTGCTTCCTACTCAGCCGGGCCACGATAATATGTCCCCATCCTCCCTTGGGAGGGGGGAGGTCCACGGCTGCAAGGCTTGCAGGATGTCCTCTTGCCTCGGCTGGGTCGGCCATTTTTTTTCCGGCATCCGAGGGGGGTCCGCGGAGAGGCTGGAGCTGCCGCCGCTGCCTCTCCAGGCTTGCGATCATCGGCCACGCCAGCGACGACGAGAAGGAGATACCGTGCAGGTGGATGTGCACAGTTTGGTGACCAGCGTGACGCCTGGCCATGGGAGTCTCAAGCGCCAGGACGCTCGCAATTTTGATCCGTGGCTTGATGTGCGACGGCGCTGTGCCGAGCGCCCCTAGTATTAAGTCTGGCTCTACAGGAGGAAAATGCACAAACAGTAAAAGATAGTCTGGGGACGATTTTCAAAGTATGTTTAACCTTTTGCTGTTGTTGTTGTTGTTGTTGTTGTTGTTGTTGTTGTTGTTCCCTACCTAGGCTCTGCCTAGAGGGTTCTTACTCGCTGGGCTTAAAGGGGCCGGGCAGTGGGCTTCGCCCCGGGCGGTTTCCCCGGTCCCCGCCCCGCGGTTCCCCCAGCTGCGCCCCCTTACCTTAGCTTTGCGTATCTCATCTTAGCTTAGCTTAACTTAGCTTAGCTTAGCTTAGCTTCATCTTAGCTTCGCTTAGCTGTAGCTTAGCTGTAGCTTAGCTTAGCTTAGCTTAGCTTAGCATATCATAGCATCGCCCAGCATAGCATAGCATAGCGCAGCATATCATAACATATTATAGCATAGCGCATCATAGCACAGCATAGCATAGCATAGCGCAGCATAGCATAACATACCATAGCCTAGCATACCATAGCGCAGCCTAGCGTAGCATAGCATAGCGCAGCATAGCGCAGCATAGCGCAGCATAGCATAGCATAGCATAGCATAGCATAGCATAGCATAGCATAGCAGCAACGCAAAGGCAACGCAACAGCAGCAACAGCAAAGAACAAGCACAAGCAACGCAAAGCAAAGCAGAGCAAACGCAAAAGCGAAGCGAATGAAAGGCAAAGCAAAAACAAGGTGCAACAGTACGATCAGATAGCCCACCCGGTGAGCGAATGCAAACACATGCGTCTGTGTGTGCGAAGGCAACGCAAAAGCAACACCAAGCAAAAGCAACAACAAGCAACAGCAAAGGCAACTACGACGATGAGGAGAAGGAGGAGGACGGGGTTTACCGTTACTACTAATGCTGCTTTCCTAGTTGCTCCAACTCCTAGGTAGGGTCGCACTGGGGTAATTGTTGAACATTATTTATTCTAAAGAATAATTATTGTTGGGCCCCCCTGGTGCGCGCCCCCCCTGCGCCGCCTAGGCCGCAGCTACATTTTCATCATTTTCGTGAGGAAGCCTCAGAAAAGAGGGTGTGTACAGGATCCGGTTGTTTTGTTGTAATCCGCTTTCCCTTGCAAAAAACAATAGAAAATGACATTTCTTGTTCTAATATAATCAAATTTCAAGAATCCCTTGCAAAAAATAAGGTAAAGTGGACATTCGCGCGCGCAAGACGAAATCCTTCCAAAACCTTAGTGTTCGCAGCGATTTTAACATAAAAACATCAAAAAACCAATGGTTTTTCAACAAAAAATTGTCAAAATCTCATCCCGCGCGCTCTTGCGGATTCGTAGGAAACCCAACACTTTTTAAACATTTCTGTCAAACGGGCTTTTGCGAGCAACTTTTTCGAACTTCTGCGACAACGGTTGCGCACCTGCCAGGGCCATCATCCCTGTCAAATAATACCATGCGGGACACTTGTGTATTCCCACATCCCTCAGGAATTTGCCCTAAAGATGTGATCAACTATCTTGTGAGTACGTATCATGTGTATCATGTGTATCATGTACCATATGCATCATATGCAACAGATGTTCTGTGGAAGGCTTAACAACTTCTGTGGGTTAACAAGGCTTAACAACTTCTGTGGGTGTACGAACGTAGGCTTAACAACTTCTGTGGGTGTGTACTCCACGCCAGTGTAGTAGCCACGGTCGTCCGCAGGCCACGAAGTGAAGTGTCCGAACGTCATAGGGCGGGAAGCTGGGTGTGGGTGGTGGCGAAGAGTCGTGTGGATATTTGGTAGAGCTTGCACTGCCCCCCCACAAAGTGGGGGTATTGGCTGGCGTCGCATGAAAACCCTGGCACTGGTGAGAACACTGAGCGTTCGGGTAAAGTGATTGTTGTTGTTGTTGTTGGTGGTGGTGGTGGTGTTGTTGTTGTTGTTGTTGTTTTGCTGTTGAGGTTGTTGTTGTTGTTGTTGTTGTTGTTGTGTGTGTGAGAGACTATGTTCGATTTTTCGTCCGAGGCCCGCCTTTAGGGGGACACGCCCGACCTAACCCTCGGACGATCTTCGTTGGTGCCAGGCGCTGCCCTTGGACGACCTGCCTGCCGCCCGGGGCCCAACCCTGATGCCACTGCCATGGTGTGGCGGCTTCTGTGTCGGTCCTCGGCGCGGTCGACTGGTCGGGGGCGGCCAAGAGGGGGGGGTGATGACCAGGGTGGGGGCGATATCATGGCGTGGGCCATGATGTCTCCCCAGATTCCATGGCGCCTCCTACTATTTCAATACGTCCCTGGCCCCCCCTCCCCTGGGCCGCGCACATGCCGCCGGCCATGATTTGCGCCCCCCCGTCTTGGACGCCCCCCTCTTGGACGCCCCCGAGTCGACTGGTGGCGTCCGATCTGCCAGCAGCTCGGAAACGTGGCCGAGGAACACACTCATATGGCTTACATCGGAGGCTGCCAGAAAGGTTGGTTGGACAAGGTTTGTTTCGATGGACTCGAGGTCCCCCCAGCCCGACCTTAGGCACTCCAGCGCGACCTGAGGCGCCCCAGCAGCCGTCTAAATCACCCTTCTTGAACCAGACCTTCTCGCCGTCTTTGATTACAGTTGGGGCCCATGCCAAGAAACACCCTGCTTGCCTTCAGGGCGCCCTGTGTTTCCTGGGCTTCGATGGCTTTGCAACGGGAAGCGTGCCGTCCCCACACCAAGGATCGATGGACGTCCTGGGGTCTCAGGGTTGGGTTGAAGGTTTCTTGTGGTCGGGCCCCTGCTGCAGTGGCTCATCCCTGGAGGGGACGGCTGCCTTTTGCCACTCCGGTGGAGCCACCGCGGGCCGGGTTTTCCGGGCTCGCGGCGGAGGCGTCGCCCGAGGTGTACGCCTGGCCCTGCCTGCTCGTGCCCTCCTGGATCGCCTCGCGCGCCCCTGCGGTACGGCAGCGCTTGCACGTGACTCTCTTGCCACTGGGGTCAAGAAAGTCGGGCATGTCCCTCTACAGGAGGAACATTCATTTTTTTGAAAGTAGTCAGGGGGCGATTGCTAGTATTTTTTTGACTACGTTTGAGCATTTTTGTTTTTTTGTTTCGCTCACAATCCACCTGTAGGATGACCTGAGACTGGGGTCGAGACTCAGTGCCAACCGAACTAGCGTGGATGTACGAATGAGGCGGAGTGAGTTGGGACGCGATGGCAGGGGTGCGTCGGAGAAGCCCACATTCCTGGAGGATCGCCGCGATTTGATCCTGGGCCAGATGGCGGGCTGTCGTCTCAAATGTCACAGTATGTCGAAGAGACTCCACATAAGGCTAACATAACGATTCGATTGTGTCAGCGCTGCCTTTGGCATCCATGTGCCTGGCACAGAGTCAGAGTGCACCGTGGGCGGCGCACTATCTCGCCAAATGTTTGAAACTGTTGCCCATTACTGGTTCCTGGCAGGACAGACAGTACTCATTTCAACGCCGCCCCTTGTGCACATATGTCTTCCATGATCTAGTCATGAATCTTGTGGATCCGTCGATCCATGCGACGGGCAGACCTGTCAATACATCTTTACTTATTTCATGTTCGAGGCTGGCTGGATAAGTCCACAACGTTTTCCCAGAAATTCGTTCATCCCTTCATTCACAGCGCGATTCATTTTCAGGGGCAGACGCATCGGCCGTTTAGTTAGCTTGAAACATACATGTCTGGGTACTGCGGGCAACAGTTAGTAATTAGTGTCAGCCAGAAGATGTTCGGGCCCCCACTTCTGCTCAATACGATAACGATGACTTGCCTGGGAGGGTGTGGGTCTGGGTCGCGGTCCACCAGACACATGCAGCCGCACTCAAATTATTTGAAAACCCACCTGGCCCAACATCAGGCCTTCAATGGCGTTGGCAGTGCCATGCGCTGAGACGTGTGTGGTAGATGTGCTCGATCTAAAGACCGCCTCAACGACTGCTCCAGTCAAGTGGAAACTGGAAGGAAGCGGCCTCGACGCGCTTAGGCTGAGCAGCTCCACTTGATTCTTTTACGTTCGCATTGGCCACAGCTTCAAGGTATAAGCCGTCCAAGTCATGATGCGTGTCACGTCAGCCAGCTCGATGCGCGGGCACTGTGTATCAGTGCCCTATCCGTTTTGTGATTATGAGAGGTGTTCCCCAGCACTTGCCATGCCGCTCGCAACAGGCTCCGCCATGACCTTCTCTGGTCGTGAAGGCGCTCCAGAGGGTCCATGTTGACCTGATGAGTAGTGGTGGTATGCAATTGTTGCACAGCCATGGGTCAGCATATTTTGGCAGGATATCCGTGCAACTGGAGTTATACGGCCCGAGTGATGCAAACAAGCGACCATCTTATGACACCTCCAGCGACAGAAAATTCCGAGCAGCTATTTCAAATACGAGAGAGAGAGAGAGAGCGAGAGAGAGAGAGAGCAGTGTATAGAGTAGTTGGAGTACGAATGAATTATACCTTTAGCGGCACTGCATCATTTGAGAGTTTGTCTGCCCGGCTCACCCTACCAGGCCCTATCTGGCCTTGCAATGTCTGGTATAGTTATTATGTATTATGGGCTTCTGGGGCCCATGCCCATCCGACATGTGACATAATGAAATTCGGTGATCCGCCGGATCCGCTGGATACACTGCGAAGCCATGAATGTGGTGGACATGCTTTAATCCATGCTGCTAATATTTCTGAATCTGTGCAATGTGGGCCACATGCGCGCGCTCGCGCGCGCGCGCAAGACAGCATGAGCAGGCAACCGCTTGTGTTCATAAGCGTCACCATATAGATCTTTTGAAAAGAAAGACTCGAGCCAATTGTTGAACAACACGTTCAGGCCTTGCAGCTCCTGTCAGATGTTCGGCGCGTCTGCAAATATTCATCAATGTTCATGACCAATATGCGAGCACGAGTTCATCGACTTGCACCGCCTTCTGAGAGTACCCAGCTAACAAGGGAATGAGATCCCTCACAATGTGACGTGAGGTATGTGCTGCGGTTTTCGTCAGAAATATTCGGTTGTTCGGACGCGAGGAGGCTAGACAGTGTACACTACGCTCTAATCGGATGTGCGGGTGGGTATGATCGCGCTCCGCAGCAAGCTTGGCTACATGATGCAAGCGGGGGTCGGCGGAGTTCAGTTTTACTTCTTCACTGTATCTGTTGTTTCCCATGACCGTGCCTGGCCGAGTTCGGCCGGGCAGCATTCCTACGTGTTTCTCATATGTGTTATGGGCCCACGTCTGTATTCTTTTGAGCTAGTGCCATGTTCCGCCGTGGACATTTTTGCCCATGCTGCGTTAGCATATGGGAAATGCGTTCGGGTTAAATGTGCGCGCTTGCGCGCTCTCAAGCGAAATCCATGTCGAAACCAGTTGCCAATATGTCTAGACCGATCTCTGCAAGACCGTTATGAACAGACGAATCGCCAAAGGAGTTCTAGAAACATTCGGCATTTGGCATTCGTTGTCGTCGTCGTCGTCGTCGTCGTTGCGTCGTTGTCGTCGTGGTCGTGATCGTGGTCGTGGCCGTCGTCATCGTGCTCGTCGTGGTCGTCGTCGTGGTCGTGGTCGTGGTCGTGGTCGTCGTCGTCGATGTCGTCGTCGTCGTGGTCGTCGTCGTGGTCGTCGTCGTCGTCGTCGTCGTCGTCGTCGTCGTCGTCGTGGTCGTCGTCGTGGTCGTGGTCGTCGTCGTCGTCGTCGTTGTTGTCATGGTCGTGGTCGTGGTCGTCGTCGTCGTCGTCGATGTTGCTGCCGTCGTCGTGGTCGTGGTCTTGGTCGTTTGCGTCGTCGTCGTGGTCTTGGTCGTTGGCGTGGTCGTCGTGGTCGTGGTCGTGGTCGTCGTCGTCATCGTCGTCGTCGTCGTCGTCGTCGTCGTGGTCGTGGTCGTGGTCGTGGTGTTGGTGGTGGTCGTCCTCGTCGCCGTCGTCGTGGCCGTCGTCGTCGTCGTCGTCGTCGTCGTCGGCGTGGTTGTCGTCGTCGCCCTGTTCCGTCCCCGCGGAGAGAGTGCGGCCGCGGCAGGCGCCGGGGCTGGCGCCTTCGCGGCCCTGAGGCGGGCGCCCCTTCCTGTCTCTTGTGTGCTGGCGACGGCTACTCATTCTCGTCGTGGTCGTCGTCTTCTTCGTCGTCGTCGTCGCTTTCGTCGTCGTCTTAGTTTCCACGTCCCATCCCCCTTCCCCGCGCCCTCCTCCGCCTCCGCGCCCTCCGCCTCCACTCTTCCACCTCATTCCGCCCCTCTTCCGCTTCCTCTTCCTCATAGTCCCCATCCCCATTCTCCCATTATCCTTCCTCCACTCCCTCAGTTTCCTTCCTCCGCTCCTCCGTATCCTGTCCTCCCCGTGCTCTCACAATGAGGGTGCACGAACCATAATCTGAGGGCACCAAACGTGTCAACCCGACATGCCAAGAGCGTGCTGCGGCGATGTCCGTCCGAAGCTGTCTGGGCCCGGGATGTCGAACATCTCGGGGCTCGGGATGTCGAACATCTGCCCATGCGCGCCCTGCCCGCCATGCGGCCCCCGAGGTGGACGACCCGGCAGAGCAACAAGCAGCAGCAGCAGCAGCAGCAGCAGCAGCAGCAGCAGCAGCAGCAGCAGCAGCAGCAGCAGCAGCAGGGGGCAGAGGAGGGAACGACACCCGGGGACCAGGACGAACCCGGAGCCGGGGGAGGGAGGGGAGTGAGCGACAGGGAACGACCGCGCCGACTGGGGGGAGAGAGGAGGGCTAAGCCCGGGCGACAGCCCGAGGGACGAGCAGGAGGGAGAGCAGGCAGAGGAGCGACGCAAGACGGCGGAAGGAGGGACGGCGACATCACCTGGAATGCAGGCGGGCGGGAGAGCAGCGCCAGCATTCAGGCTTCTGATATAGGTCTCCCTAAAACGCAGTATTGGAGAGGCCTGACGGCCGGTGCCTCCGACCCTGATCGACGACGACGACGAAGACGATGGAGGAGGAGGAGGAGGAGGAGGAGGAGGACGAGGAGGAGGAGGAGGAGGAGGAGGAGGAGGATGACAAGCAGGATGAGCAGAAGGATGAGCAGAATGAGAAAGAGGAGGCGGTGGGCGAGGTGGGGCAGCAGCAGGAGGACGCGGAGGACGAGCAGGAGGAGGAATGAGCAGTTGGAGGAGGCTCCGGAGGAGGGGCAGGAGGAGGGGCAGGAGGAGGAGGGGGAGGATGCGGCGAGGACGACGACGCTGACGTGGGTCTCTTCGGGGCGCTCTCGGGAACCTCTGGGGAGCAGCTTGGGGGCCTCTTGGTGCTTCCTGGGGGCTTCTTGGAAGCTTCTTGGGACCTCCTGGGGCCGCTTGAGCGCTCTTGGAGCTTCTTAGAGGCCTCTTGGGGCTTCCTGTCGGCCTCATGAGGCGGAAGTCTAGAATTCTCGGTTCCTCGTCCCCCTCTGGGCACTCTCTTGGGCCCGTCTTGGGGCCCTCTTGGGCCGTCTTCGGCGCCTCTTGGGCCGTCCTGCGTCCCTCTTGGGCCGTCTTGGAGCCCTCTTGGAGGCATCTTGGGTCGTCTTGGGGCGCTCTCGGGGGCCTTGGGCCGTCTTGGACCGTCGGAAAGCCGAAGAGGCGAGAAGGCTGAAATCATTCAAAAACCAAGTAAACTTTACAATTTTGGCTCCTGGGGCCCTCTTGGGAGTGCTCTTGGCGCTCTCTTGGGGCTTCTTGGGGGCCTCTTGGGCCGTTTTCGAGCAGTCTTGAACGTCTTGGGGCGATCGTTCGTCGATGCGTGGCGCTCTTCTACCGTCTTGGGGATGTCTTAGGGCGCTCTTGGCCCTTCTTGGCCTTGCTACCCCCCGGGAGGAAAACAAATCCGGGTGGCGACCCCCTCCCGGGACCCCCCCATCAGGACCCCATCAGGACCCCCCAGGACCCCCCTGGGACCCCCCCGGGACCCCCACGGGACCCCCTGGGACGGGATCAAGGGAAGGGGCTTCCCTTCGACTGAACTACGACGTTGTCCAATTGGTCTTAGGAAGAGGCCCAGGTGAGTGGAACTCAGGAAGACGGCGACGACGAGTCGAACGGGAAAGCCCGACCCGAACGGAAGAGCCCCTTACACACGCCGACAGGGTCGGCGGATGATAAAATCCCACATGGAAGCTCCCCTGCCGGGCAAAATGCCAGAACCAGGAAGAGAGGAGGGAGGCGAGGAAGGAGCAGAGGACTGGGGCTCCTCGTGTTCCACGGCCCACATCAGTCTGGCCGCTGACGCCCACGAGGCGCGAGCCCCGCTCACCTTCGCCCTCTGGTGCGCTATGCGCGCGGCGCTCCCTCTCGCCGCGATGACGGCGATGCGATGAAGCACCTCCCGTCGCACCGTGGCCTGCTCCCGGCCCTCTCTGCTCGCCACCGCCGTCGCCAGCGCACGGACCGCGGCGTCCGCGCCCTTCGACATGCCGCCCTGGGCCTCGAACGCGACCGGCCGAAACTGGAGGGCGTGCTCACGGCATCGCCTTTCCGTCCGGTTGCGTTGCCGCTCCTGCTCGTCGTACGCCTCGGCCGCGAGCCCTGGCGCCATGGCCGTGTCCGCCACGGTCCGAGGGCGATGATCAAGGCGAAGTCGAAGCAGACCTCGTCAGCCCTCACCGCGCGGCTGCCGCCAGGCAGAAGCCGTGCTGAGGTGCTGTGGGGGATATGTGGGGGATCACCGGCACGTCCGCCGTGCGGTGCTCGTCTGCAGCCTGTCGTGCCTCCCGTGCCCCAGGGTCATCCAGCAGCCCCGCCGCCTCCGGCGTGGGGCGCAGCCCGCCGCGAGCACAACAGTCACCGCCCACCAAGCCACCCCAGCCCAACCCGAAGGCCCCGATTTGCCCTCCATTTCCAGTTTGGGGGGGTCGGGGAACAGGGAGAAAACACACCTGAAGCCCGTACCACCCCAAACCCGAAATTCGGGTCTTCGGGTTGGGTTGGGGTGGTTTGGTAGGTAGTCGAATAGTCTTAGAGACGTCTCTGTTTGCATTCTGCACCAGCCATGGCGCCCCCTCCGTTCATGCACGACAGGCAATGCCCTTCGCGTCCACTGGGGCCGCGCAAAGCGGGCGCGCGCTGGCCCCATC